TATTAGTATCATTAACAAATATTACATTGGAGAGTCTAATGTCAAGGCCAATTTTTTTATGATCATTGGAAAAGGGGTTCGTATTGTCTTATGTCGGGTTTTATATTTAAGGAAGCTGAGTTTTACAAAAGTTTTTTTCATATTGCAGATAGCTGCAAAATAAAAAAAAATGGGGAAATGTAAACACAACCTTATTTTCAGTGAATACAATATTTGCCCAAAAAATGTTTCATATTTGGTTTCTGCGAAATATTATGATGAATGTAAAACACAAAGTAAGAACAAATGGTGCGGTGAACATCTCAGACCAGTACAATCTTATTTTGTTCAAACGTAATTAAATGTGTTCTATTACGCTAATATGCAAACTGAATATTCTTTTCAAATGACTTCAAAAAGTTTGTATTTTTCGGGTCATGGAAGCATAACATAATATCAGCGATTTTGGTGATCTCTCATATTCTAAATTGAATGAACATTTTAAAAGAAAAACAATCATGATTGTGATTACGCGTTATGTTTGGAGACTCAATTTTAGTAGTGACGTAAAATTACTCATAATCATGGCGAGCAAATCGAAACAGCACCCTGAAATTCATAAGATGGCGCCCTCTATTATTCGGGTATTCTCGGCTTTTACGATAATTAACGAATCCACCCCTACTCGTAGCAAAATTTTCAAAATGGCCGACTTAGATGGTTTTGAGAATGAACCTTCCACAAATGCCGACTCTGGAGTCGAGGAAGATCCAGCTGCTGCCTTTTTGGCACGGGAACAGGACCAGTTAGCTGGTATAGAAGACGACGACGATTTTGGCTTGGGTTCGTCCGAACCAACGGCAGAAGTTGACGGCGAAGGTAAGATCTTTTCCGGTTGTAGGGAGTGTAGCTGGCGTGGCACACTGAATGACACACACAGGAAGTGTTACCCTTGTCTGCCCCTCTGTTTTTTTAAAAATAATATCACACGTTACTGAAAGTGACGCAGAGTTTCGTTAAGTGTGGTATTTTTTTCAATTTTCTGAATACATTTATAGAAAAAAATTATAATAATATATTTCACGAATGTGAAATGATTTATTATTATATATTGAAGCAAAACAGTTGTGGTTGGAATATCGAATTCAATTTTCTCCTCCCAGGTGGAGGCCTCCTACACGAGAGACTGGCTTCAGGAGGCTTTAAATCACTATTCAGAATAACAGAATAGTATTATCAAGTATATATCAACCAAAATATACAGTATATATATTTTTTGCTATGCTACACAAATGTATATTAAAATATGAATGTTACATTACAACACTTATTTTACAGGGAGTAAATTTATAATATTTTGAACATACCAGATTTTCTAAATTTGATTGTAATGCAATTTTCTTCAAATAAGAGAAAATAGAAAAATTAAAACACAGTAATTGATGTTCTCGCATACATTTGCAATGTACAAAAAATGTATGCCAATTGCATGTTGTAAAACATTGGACTGCAAAGATGTATATTAATGGTATAAAACATTGCTCCATAGTAAAACAATAGTAAATGGTCAAAATTCAAGGCCAGGCAAGTGTTTTCTTGGATGTCAGACATTTGTGTATAATAGTGATTTGTAATACACATGGTCTTTAAATGCTTATTTTTGTACCATACAAACTTTATTATTTCACATATTAATTTGTAGTGTTTGAAAACGATTTAAATTTGCAATCTTTTAACTAATTCCCGGTTTCCAAATTGATAGTATTTGCACATTCATCGTTTATGCGCTTACACATATTGCGTGACATAGGGTCAAATAAAAACAGAAGATTTCATATTTTTTGCGGGTATTTTGGGAGTTGAAAAACTATGTCATGGTCATATTTACTCTGTGAAACACGAACGTACCATCTCTATTTCAGTTCATTTTTTCTGAAAATCATTTTTTTATCGGGAAATCCACTTTTCTCAGCTGTCTTAAATAGTTCTAACTGCCCTCATTTGTCCTGAGCTACTCTCACTCCACTATCTTTAAAAAACTGTTTCAAATATGTCGCTGACTTCTTCCGGGTTGCATGTCTACTAGTGTTTTTAACTTTTTATATTTTTGTACTAACCTCGCCCATTGCTAGGTCTGACGGTAATTCAGGAATCTTTATTATCAAGCGAAATTTTTTAAAAAAAAGGTTGCAAAACGTGACTTGGATAGATTTATATGCATCACATTACTTCTCCTGTGATCTAGACGGAGATTGCCAAATATCATACCAGCAACGATTTCAATAAAACGTGAACTGCAATCTTATTTACTCACAACATAAACGAAACTACAGGCAGGTTCATCACTACTATACAAAATGTACACGTGTATGGATGCCATGTGTAACCCGAGGCATGTCTTTGCTTAATTTTGAATTTCTGATTGTTAACATCAAACACGTATTAAGGATGCTGTACACGTTTTTGGTATTGATTTTCTAAACTGATATTTTCATATAAAATATTTACTGAACAACACAAAGCTATATATTGATGGGAAGCTTATTTCACACTGGATATGAAATCGACAAGATAGTGTGTGTATGGACGTGTATAGTCACGTGATCTCTGTGTAAACACAGAAAGCCATTTTCAGTAAAAAAATAATTGAACCAATGAATAAACAAATTTAGTGGAAGATTGGCAACAAAACAGTTTTTCAGACGACGCTCACCACCATTCCGTGTTAATTGAGATATATATCTACATGATAGTTGGAGAAGAAATAATAATTTAGCTATCTTGAAAAAACAATGCGATCTGGTTCTTTCCGGTATTCAGAAATTAGAATGTAATTTCGAAACAAATAGGAAAATAGAAAAATCCCAGCGCAGCTTGAGAGGGAACATATCGAAGAGTGTCTGTGCAAAAAATTAGTATAATGCATCCATTAAAACTCGAGATCAAAGGCCTGCAGTTGCCGTGAATCGCTGTTTTGTTTAACCGAGAAAATGGCAAAAACAACTTAGCAGCAACGTATCGTCGGCTAACTCAAAATCCGTTTGTCCCATGGATCAAAACAAAGTCATAATGAATAGTCATGGTATCTGTCTGTCATAATCACGCAGATGTGTGGATATGCGTCAGTGTTCTCCACAATCCAAA